ACGTACACAAAGACTGTATAAGCTGAAGATCTGAAGTGAAATGAACAGGAGTATGAAGCTCTGAAGAGATGCACAGGAGCATACCTTCCCTTTTATTCCTCCCTCTTATACACATCTAGATGTGTATAAGAGACAGACCCAAACCACAACCCCAGCACCCCCACCAAAACCAAAATTTTATTGCAGATTCGGGGTCCTCTCGCCGAGTGCAGAACGACCCCGGTTTCAAAAAAAAAAAAAAAAAAATTCTAGCCCTTTTTTTTGTCCTGCCCTTTTTACCCGGGCGCCCCCCCCGGGCCCAACCGGCTGGGCCCAGCCCGGCAGGGCAGTCCCGGCCGGGCGGCGTCCTCACTCAGTTATTTTTTTATTTTTTTATTTTGTTTTTGGTTGTCCTTGCGCCGGGCCTGTGGGAATCCTCTCTCTCTCTCTGTATCGTTACAGTTTCAACTTTTAACCGATGTCGGGAAGGAGCGGCCGTCCATTTTCTAGCGATTGTTTGTATCGTTTTTGCTCTGTATGACGTGTATTGTATAGGATCTGTTTTCTGAACCTTTTTTTTTTTATCTTCGTTAACTGTCCTGCTTGCGGCGCAGGGGCCGTGCTAATCTTCTGTGTATCGAATCTTTGCCGCCATTGATTTTCTAACTGTTGTTTGTTTGGGTGTCTCTGTTGCTGTTTTTGTTTTTGCGCCAATGAACGTCATATCGTGCGATCAACGCTGTTGATGCCGGCGGGGATCGGCGAACTGGTTTGTGGCGTGGCGCGGCATGGACCGGGCAGACGAGAGATCCGCCAATTCTGCCTCCTTTCTCGTGCATCCTTCATGGCTCAAAAGCTGCAGGCGAGTGCTTTTCTGTTCTTCGGACTTGTTCTTTGAAGAGATGCCGGGCCTCATCTCATCTGCGAAGAAGTAATATTAAAAGTAGGACTTGATCTGCTGATCTGCTCGCTGTCAGTCCTGACTAAGAGAAGAGGCTTGAGCAAAGCAATGGTCATTCAGTGCAAAATGTAGTGTGGCCATCGATTGACTTCATGTCTCTCTTCGGAGGACGGCCAACGGTCAGTATTTTATTATTAATAATTTAATATTATAATAAATTATATTATATCATTTATATTATAATAATTTAGAAAATGATGATGATAGATCGATCATCATGTCGCCTCACATTTATTGTTCACATATCTACATATATATTATTATATATATAATTAAATATATATATTAAATTATATTTATAATTTTGTATGGTTGGTATGTGTTCGTTGAAGTTGATCCCAGTTTAAATGTGGATGTTGATTGACGAACTCTCCCGCTCCCTTTTCTTTTCTTGCCAACGAGGCATCATCATAATGGGCCTCGCTCCACTACTCTCGACATGCACAAAAGACAAAAATCATGGTGGTGTATCGTTCCATGTTCTAGCGCAATATTCACTCTTGTTTTTCACATTTCGAGAGTACTGGAGCGAGTCCCAATATCATATTGAGTTTAGCAGTTGTGCAGTATGACCTTTCTTTTTCTTTTTTGGGGGGGAAGTTCTTTTTCTGTGTTTCTGCGAAATTGTGCCGATGTGAATTGACATCAAACTTAGCCACTACTATTCTTCTCTTTTTTTTCTCTCTTTTTTTCTCTCTTCTTTTTTTTCTCCCTAAATGTTATCAGAACTCCCTTAGTTGTCAACAAAATTGTAATCAACTAAGGCATTATCTCACAGGAGGAAGTTGGTCGGAGTGTATCGAACTGCAATCGTGACCAGTTACACTCTTGAGACAGATGTACTATTGGGAATATACTTTAACATTAAACAAAGCACAGCACACCAGTCCTCATTCTCTACTTCTCTGGAATCTTTTCTCGTTTTTGTCCTCACCCCCTTCACCCTGCGTCTGCCCCCCCTCTCCTTCCCCCCTCCCCC